AGTAACAAGAAGCTACTAGTAACAAGTGCCTTACTAGTAGTAACAAGAAGCTACTAGTAACAAGTGCCTTACATGCACGTTTGGACACTTCACACATGTTCACCCCTTCGAAACTGCCACGACTACTCCTTCCGCGACGCGTGTTTGAACACCTTCCGCCTTCCGCGACTCGACGTAGGCGCGCAAGCGTCGCGGGGCCCTTTCTGGTCCGATCCGATCGCGGACCTTCACCGAGGCTCTCATCAACAGCTCGCACGAGGATCAGAAGGACAGCCTCGGCGGCTCGGAATGTGCGACCGATGTTGATGGATGTCACAGGCGTCGATGCAAGGGGGCGGTCCCAAGCGAAATGTCCCTTGTTGATCCTATAGGATCCTATAGGTTGTTCTTTGAACGCCACAAGAAGGAGAGGATAGGAGACAACCCTGTGCTTGTTGGGCTTGTTTGTGTCGATTAAGAAATAATAAGTATAACATAGTATAACAAACAAGTCTCTACATGCTCCACCAATAATACCAACTTTGGATTGCTGGATCTTAAAAATAACAGTGTTTGGGAAATTCGACTCCCGTGTGGATCTATCATCAGGTTGAGCTGGTTCCATGGAAGTTCCAGTGGAAGGCAAAATAGCATTCAATATCATTCAACAAACCAAGGCATAGAAGCACCGTTTTTCTTTTTTCTTTGATATGTTCCGCCCATGGAGAGGAGGAGTTTGGCATGCTACAGTTTCAATCACCCCTTCTTAAGAAATCATCAAACTGGCTCCACTCCCAGATCAATGATGTAAGCTATGTAACCCATGATGCTCGAACTCTACTGCCACCGTGCGGCAAAAATGTGGGGCTCCAGTAGAGGCCAGCCATGGCTGACCTCCACTTTTCTGCACGTAAGGATGGGTGAATTACATTTTACACAGCACCTGGTCGCACACTCGCACCGCCCTCAACGATTTGGCCATCAAGATTGCCCCTTGGCTGCTCCGTTCTCGGCCGTCCGGAAAGGAACTGGAAAGGAACCGGATTGAGCTGGGAAGTGGGGGTTGAGGTATTACTTCTGTATGGGCTGCTCATGTCACATGAGCAACCAGATCTCAACTTCCCTCTGACCCGAAAACCTGACAGACATCCTTTGAGCATCCTTGAGCCAAACAGTTCACAAGTTCACACCCAATCTTTGGGCCGGGATTTCAAGACAATACATCCACCATCATCCACCTATAGCCTATACTAGCCATTTTCAATGACATGACCTCATCTCATTTATCCATCCCCCGAAACCTCCTCCGAACCCCCGACCGGTCCAGGTTTCGCAGGAGGTCAAAGCAGCGATCCGGCAGCGGAACCTTCGCGGCGGCCCGGCGGGGGAAGGAGGGAGACAGGTGCACTTGCTGGGTGGATGGATTTCGGTTTGATTGGATTTGGGAAATTTAGGTGTTCGAGACGGAGAATTGCCTTCAAAGTGGAGTTGAACATGGAGTACAGTTCGAGGTTTTGAGCAATTAGGTGTTCAGCATGACTGGGGGCAGAGGATTTCTTTAACACTTTGCTTTTAGCTTTGAAGCCACGTGAAGCAACGGTGATGTCAGCAGCGTGGATCTGTTCACCGACGGGGCAGGTCGTTGAAACCTGGTTGGAGAAGCGTTCGTGGTTGGTCCCCAAATAGATAGAAATGGTATGACATGGGTTTCCAATTTTGAAAAGGATTTACTTTTCGATTGACAGGGGGGTCTATATCGAGAATTCACAGCTGAACCGCGGCGGACCTGGTGGAAGCCACATTTGAGGCTTCAATATCGACATCAGTCTGAAGACGCACTTCGACATCGGCCTGGGACTTGTGGTTTCGAAACGGAGATGCCGAAAACGCGTCCGGACACCCGTTTCGCAGATCGCCACGGAGAAGCGCCCACAGGGTTTCGAAGGATCAGTTTCTGGGATGGCACGGCTTTTGCACTCGCCCAAAATCTCTGCCATCATTGCAACACCTGGCCACAGGATCTTCGCCACCTGTGTTGAAGAACATCGTGGCCACACATACCGGTGTCGGAAGTCAAGAAGGCCACCACCGAAAGGGATGTCGAACATGAAGAAGCATGAACCCGTGCGGCGGGATGATAGTTTCTATATGTCTATATTCCTGTATTCGTTGAATTATACACTGCGTCCTAGATACGTCAGATACTTTGGATTCATCATCATGCTTAGATTTGTTTTGATATGATGTGAATATTATGAATGAGGAACAACAAACAACGATTGAGTCTGAGAATGTCGTTTATATCATCATCTCTTGGCGAAAGTCAGTAGCCGTCTGAGACGGATTTTCTTCCGGGGATGAGACGTGCAAGTCAACGAGCCACAAGCCAGGCATTGAGCTTTTGGCCGCTTGGCTGTACTTGAGATATTGAGATAGACATACGTGTTTTGTTCAACTATGTGAAAAAACTCTTCGATTGGACGTGGTTTCTTTTTGACATCGCACCCTTTCTGACCCCAAAGCCACAGGTGCCGTCCATCGCCAAATGGGGGCACCGCCTCTCACACTAACACATCTAAACACCAACCACGCCACCCACCTGCCTGGCGTGCAGCGCGGCACACCACGCGGTCTGAGACCAATCTGGAAATGTCGGCGGCGGATGATTTCCACTTTGAGCTCGCGATCTCTGGTCGAGTCAGCGGCTTGCCGGTGAACACTTCCGCAGCTCGGGCAGCAGACATGGCAGACATCCGACTTCCAAAACCGAGCAAATCATTGTATCCATGAGTCCAATGTATTTTTGTATGAGAGTAATTAGATGAGCGCAGTTGAATGCGAGATGATTTGTGAATCACCCTATGTTTCATCTAGTCCATTCTAGTCCTAAGATTGGCAGAATATGAGTATTGATACCCCATGTGATAAGATGTCCGTCAGTTGCCGGCTATGTTCGTAGCTGAGGTTGGCTTGAGAAGTTTCAGCCTATACGGCAACGCTTGCGTTCTGCTAGCTCCTCTGATAGACAGCATGCCGATCTTTGCCGGAGGCGAAGATGCACTCACACTTCGAATCATTTCACTGGATTGATGACATAGCCATCTTGCTGCTTCCTGTTTTGACTTCACAGAGGTGGTGGACCTTTGACGCTAGGGGTTTGGGCCGAAATACATATGGAACACCCACTTTTGCCTCAGCCTTCTGACCCGCCTTCCGCAGGCAAGATCTACTTCCTCGACCTTCCGAACCTGCACATTGCATTCTTTGGGATGCAGTCGGAACCAGTCTCAGGATGTCTTCTAGGATTCCTTCTTAGTCAAGAGGCCTCTCAGTCTCAGGAGTCTTTCTTAGACACTGTCATTTCATCGTCATTCCGTCTTCGTGTCACTTCATGTTGTCGGACGACGTGACGTTGAGAAAAATCCGATGAATCCGACGTTTCGATTCGTTGGACGGGAAGCATGTCGACGATCCTTCGCGGTCTACGCGGAGACGCGAAGTAGAAGAGAGAAGCTTCCCACGTGGACATTCTGTGGGTCATTTCCACCCACCTTTGCGGGTACATCGCAAAGACCATCAAAGATAACCGCTTTCACCGCACCAGACCTGGTGACCTGGGTGAGCTGCTTCGACCAGTCTGACCAAGGCTGGTAAGCTACTGGGCCCCATCCTGGTGGCCGCCGTACAGACCACGGCGGAGCAGATCCTGCAATCCTTCGTGGTTCCAGGCAGGTGGCCCGGTGGCTACCACCGGGCGGTGGTAGGTTTCTTGAACACAGAGCGAGCGTGACCGGGGTAGACATGGGTAGACCAACAGCCCGGGTTCACTGCCTGATCATGTGGCATCCTTGATTTGTTCAGCGATGACATTTTTGGGACACGCACTTGGGAGAGCTGTAGACACCTCTGCAATGCGCCAAAGTATTTTGATTCGGAAGATCAATACCATTTGGTCATTTTTGGCTCAAGGCAAGCTTTACCAACTTTGGGCTTAGTGACTCCTGTTGTATCTTCAGTATACTCAGACAGCCATGGGTGACGAGGAGAGCTGCCAACTCGACATGCAAGTGGAAATTGTGAATGCTAGTCCAAAGCAGTTTGTACATGCAAATTTCAATCTGCCACGCAGAAAACCGGGTAGTTTTTGTTGATCCCCATTGTTTGTGCAAATTTCATTGGCCTTTTGCTTTCTTACGACTTTCACCCATCACTTTCACCATTCATCAAGCAAAACCTTTTATATAGTAGGAAACACTTCTCAAGAAGTGTCCTCCCAAGCCATAGAGCCATGTAGTCTGGCCTCTCAAGTTCATCACCTTCCCAAATTTGATTTTGGTCTTCGCTAGTAGGTTTGAGGCCAGCGATATTAGGTTGGAGGCCATTGCTAGGAGGCCATCGCTAGTAACCGCTAGTAGATTCGAGGCCATCGCCATGAGGTTAGCTCCCCCTATTACAAAAGGGCCTGAAGTTGCTGCCCAGGTAGTCAGGTCCATTCCTTTTTTTGGTTCTATCCTCCATCCTCAGGAGGTCGCAGCTTTGGTCGTGGACAACGGAAGCGGCATGTGCAAGGCCGGTTTTGCAGGTGATGATGCTCCCCGAGCAGTTTTCCCATCCATTGTGGGCCGCCCGAAGATGCCTGGAATTATGGTTGGCATGGACCAGAAGGACAGCTATGTGGGAGATGAGGCGCAGAGCAAGCGAGGCGTTCTCACCTTGAAGTATCCCATTGAGCATGGCATCGTCACCAATTGGGACGACATGGAAAAGATTTGGCATCACACCTTCTACAACGAGCTGCGAGTTGCCCCAGAGGAGCATCCCGTCCTGTTGACGGAAGCGCCTTTGAATCCCAAGGCCAATCGTGAACGCATGACCCAAATCATGTTTGAGACCTTCAACGTCCCGGCCATGTATGTGGCGATCCAGGCCGTCCTCTCCCTCTACGCGTCTGGCCGCACGACTGGAATTGTGATGGACAGTGGTGATGGTGTGAGCCACACAGTGCCTATCTATGAGGGCTACGCCTTGCCGCACGCCATCTTGCGTTTGGATTTGGCGGGGCGGGACCTGACGGAGTACATGATGAAGATCCTCACTGAGCGCGGCTACTCCTTCACCACAACCGCCGAGCGTGAGATTGTGCGCGACGTCAAGGAGAAGCTTTGCTACATCGCCTTGGACTTTGACAGTGAAATGAAGGCTGCGTCTGAGAGCAGTGACAAGGAGAGCAGCCCGGCAATCCGTGTCACAGGGTGTTTTCGATCGTCGTGGCCGTCACAACAAGTTGATGTTGCACAAGTTCTTGGGTCAACACGGTTCATGTTCACTTCGGGTAGCCACTAAGCTAAACCTTGGGAAGCCTCGCTTCGCTTCGGTTTGATGTGCAGTTGCCCTACATGGGCCACCGAAACCAAGCCTTGATCACTGGCGCCATGCTTCCAGGAAAAGACCTACGAACTCCCAGATGGCAACATCATTACCGTGGGGTCTGAGCGCTTCCGCTGCCCTGAAGTCCTCTTCCAGCCCAGCTTTGTGGGCAAGGAGGCGAGTGGCATTCATGACACCACCTTCCAGTCCATCATGAAATGTTGCCTGGAGAGGAGATTGGAAAGATCTTTAGCCAAGTTCGATGGGGTGTTTCAACATGTGAAAACCATCAAGAAGGGTTCAAGAAGGGCCAAGACTACCGAGGATATTTCTTTAAAGATGGCTACGGGCTACGGGTAGCTAGGGGCTGAAGGGTTTTTGTCAGGCATCTTAGACAAATGCCAGGACTTGAATTGTTGAGTCATTTTTTAGACTTTTTTGGGATACTTTTAGCAGACTGGGCATGGGGTAAGCACTTCTTACCCAGCTCAAGGCTTGTGGGACAGTGATCCAACAGTTTTACTACAAGAACGATACCGCCTGTTTCCAAGGCTAGTTCAAGGATCCCAAGTCCACCCCTGACCCCAAGGGTGCTGTTGCTTTTCATGTCTTTTCTCCATTTCTTCGAAGGTGACGTGGATATCCGCAAGGACTTGTATGCCAACGTGGTCCTCTCCGGTGGCACCACCATGTTCCAAGGGATCGGTGAACGCATGACCAAGGAGCTCACCGCCTTGGCGCCTTCCACCATGAAGATCAAGGTGGTCGCTCCACCGGAGAGAAAGTACAGCGTTTGGATTGGGGGTTCGATCTTGAGTTCTTTGAGCACCTTCCAGCAGATGTGGATCTCTAAGGGCGAGTATGATGAGTCTGGACCGACCATCGTCCATCGCAAGTGCTTCTAAGACGAGGGAGCCACGAGAGGCGGGGCATGGATGGCTCCAGCAGAAGATGCTCCAGAAGTTTGGGCCTTTTTTGGGGGGCATGGATGGCTCCGTGTCGAAGAGGATTGCATTGCAGACCTCATGTTCACAGCCGTCCAGCTGGGAATCTCTGATTCAGTGCTTTGAGGCACTGATAGATTAATTCAATTCAGTCTTGCGGCAGTTGTCGTGTTGCAGAGGGGGCAGCCCTCAGGTTCACCTTCCTGCTCGTAAGACATTCCAGGCACTGCTGCGTAAGGACCCAGCTTGCCAGCACATCAGGATGAGTGAAACAATGCCAATCATGTGTTACATGTCAGCCATTTTCTTCAGAGCTTCCCATGGGCCGTCCGAGTGAGTCGCAGCGCCCCGAGCTCTGATCGTTTGAAGCCCAAAAGCCATCCAGGTGGAATCTACGTGCCAATCGCACCCATCCCACCGGTGAACTTGCTACCGCGCCTCGGTTGGAAGAGTGGTCTCATGTGTGGCGGGCGAACGTGGCAAAGGCTGACAAGAGGGGTTTTGGTAGGCGGTGGTAGTGGTAGTGGTAGTTGTAGTTGTAGTTGTAGTTGTAGTGCACCAGTAGATGGGTCCGGAAAGAATCCCAAGCTCTCAGAAATTTGTTGTTGGTTGTTAGATATTTGACATCGCAAACACAAATTGGACATTTAAATCCCCAAGGCCCAAGATCTCTGCTGAGCCACTCTGCTGAGCCAAACTCAAACAGCATCATGTGACGACTTGCAGGATTGCTACACCACCTCCTTTCGGGTATGTGCTCGTGACGGTCTACCAAGCGCGAGGTGTTTTCGGCACCGCTCTCAGTATGTGGTCTTTCGGAGAGCCAAAACTTTTCATCATGACTTTGTGATCATTCTGCGAGACTCCACTTCGTTTACCGTTGCTAGGTGGAGACTGGTCTTTGTTCAGCAAAGAAACTTCTGCCTGCCACTCAGACCACTCCGCTTTGACCGCTGGAACCGGTGTTTTCACTCACTCATGCGTGACAAAAAATCTGGTTGGTGACCACCGGCTGCGTCGCGTCGCCCGGCGACGTCGCGTCGCTGCGAAGGATCCCTCCGTGACCATCAAACTGGGCGGCACGTCCTTCATTACATCGAACCTTGGCTGAGCCGCTCGAGGAGCGACGCGCGCGTGCGCGACGCGTGGTTTGTTTGGAGCTGAAGCGAGTAGTTTGGAGTTTTTTCTTCATCCTGATCAATTTTCTTGTTGCCATTTTGTAGAGTCATTGATCATTCACAAGGAATTACTCTGTGAACTACGATTTTGACACTCCAAAGCCCGTCAAACTATGGAACTCCTTCAACATATTTGGGTTCCTGAACTTATCACTTCCAATTTTGACAGTTAACTAAGTTAACTACCTCTTGCTTCTCCTTCTTCGCGCAGTCTTGGCTGCCAAGGTACCACACGAACACGAGCCATCCGGTTTGGGATCCACCGGAATGTGGCTTCCTGTCGCTTGGAGAGGCAAACAGAAGTGATGGGCAAGTGAGGACGCAATCCAATCAGCATGGTTTGGCATGGTTTGGCAAGCCAATCAGCATAAGGCTTTAAGGTAAAACACTTCATGCATTTGGACACTCGTCTCTTTCCTGACTTTCTTTTTGTGCTAGCTGCTAGCCCTTTTCGAACCATGATGTTGCGCGGATCACTAATCTCGTCTTGTGGTGAAGCATTGCGTTTTCCTTTTCACCCCACCGAGGCCTTTGTTTCACCAAAATCAACAGTTGTATATCGCCACTATGCTGCAAGAGGTTGCCGCACGAAGAACTTCTTTTGATCTATAGATCAAGTACATTCTTTGGATGATTGGACGCTGAAAAACCGTGTTCATCTCTTTATATTGGGTGCTACTTGGCTTCTTTTAAGCTTCCTTGCATGCCAGAGTCTAACCATGTCTAACCTACTATGATGTTCTTTCCAGCATTCTCCCCATGGATGCCGATGGCGGTGGGGTGTTCTTCTTGAAGCCACCGAGTGAAGCTCTACCGAGGATGTCACTGATGTGGACTTGGGCGATCGTCGAGACCTGCTGGGGCAACACTCGGGCACGGCCGGGGGCTTCGACCGAGCGAATGGCCCCTCCATCGTTTAACAGCTTGTCGTTCCGTTCGTAGCGAACATTGTTACTAGTAGTACTAGCCAGGAGCCCCGTTCGTAGCGTTCTTGCTCCGTTCGTAGCGATGCCCTTTGCTCCTAGTAGCTTCTCGTTACTAGTAATGGCCTCCAGCCTAACAGCGATGGCCTCCACCGCACTCGCGCGCCTCGTGTCGCCTCCGCCTTGAACGCCTCGTGTCGAACTGAGGTCCAACGTATCCATGAACGCCTCCAAGGCGCGGTATACAGCGTCCTTGGACGCTTAAACATGCATGCTGCATTTTTGGCAACTGAATCATTCAGAGCGGTGTGAAAGCTGCCATGACTGACTCGGACTCCCGTGTTTTTGGGGCAGTCCCTTTCAGTTTCGCGTGATGCCGGGGTGTGAAGCGTTGATACCGCCCCGACGTCTGGACGTGTGCTTTCCTGGGTCTCACAGGCAAAGCCTGGTTGGAGATGGAACTCACCGACATCGCCAAAGCTGCTGGTGGTGACGATCCTCCTCCGACGCTAGCTGCGAGCGAGTTCGCTTATGAGCGGCCCGTTCGGCCCCGAACGGCCGGGTACCGTTCGGAGAGTCGGAGGTGCTGAGCAGATGAGCAGATGAAGGGTGGATGTTACATAACTCTTTGAGTATTTCCAGCTGCTTTAGGTGAGATGTCTCATGGATTTGTGAATGAGGTTTTGAGGATTGTTAATGGCTTGACAGGTCTCACATGAGCTTCAAGATGGTTTTGTTTTGGGGATTCTGTTTAATAAGTATTGGATACTTGCATGGTTTTACATGTCGCCTAGACTGGTGGACCAGGTGTGCCTGAGTTTCACCTCCTGTTCTCACTGGATAGAAGCGGTCTTTGCTGTGCTCAGGATGGAGGTGTTGTTGAAGACAGTGTCCTGAATGCAAGTCCAGAGAGACCGAGTTGAACTCGAACCCCGGAAAGAGTTGATAAGATAACGACGAAGGGAAACACTTGAACGCCTTGACAATCCACGCAACATCCTGGCAACGTCCTTTTCCAGGCATGTAGCCCGCCACTGGAACCGGATTGAAGTCTATCCCCTTCTATCCCTGAAGCTTCGTACCGGAAAATGCAGCCTTTGCCAGCCCATCCAAGGAGTACTTGCAGGTGGTCAAATTAGATCCGCTCATAGAACGAATGACGGAGCTGCCCAAGGGCGACGCTCATCAGCCGGGAGTCCTGGTGTGCTTCGTCAGGAGAAAGGGGTGTGGACAGGTCAAAAGAAGATCGTTGCTCCTTTCGCGAAGTTAAGCTTACATGAACTTCCGGGTTAAAAGGGGACATCTTCGATATCCATCGATTCTGGACCCCTTGGTTTTGGTGAGGTGCCGGACCTTCCATGGTTCGTTTCTGTTTCCCACCGGGTGGATGAGGTTTGGCGGCCCCCCATGGCCTATCTGTGGACTATGTGCCACTCTTGAGACTTTGCTCAGTCAAGCTTCTTGGTGACGAAGCTAAAAACTGGGTGGTCCAAGACGTGCGCCTTTTAGGTGCCTTTTTCTTTGAGAATGAAACATCAGACTAAAGTCGGAGACGTGCAGCTTTCCCGGCTAACATCAGCCGAGCTAAGTCGATAGTGATCCTTCAGGAGGCGACAGGCGACAAGAAGGAAAAGACCCTTTTCCCTGTGTAGCCGCAGACAAGAAACACAGTGCTTCCGCAGCTGGATGGCTTCCCTTAGTGTTCGACCTCTGTCTTCGGCAAATCGATGACGAATCATGACGAATCAACTCCCAGGAGTGAGCCAAAGCTTGACTGATTGTAGTGAAATGCTTCGGAGAGATGCGAAGAACATGGTCCTTGCTGAGACACCTATGGTGTTCTGTCATGGTGAGTGTAGGATAGTGTAGGTCTCTTTGCAGCATCACATGATGAAGCTAGAACAGACCGCAATTCCCCCAAATCTGAGTGATCAATTCTTTCGACATTTGTTTCGGTGGTTTTGCAGGTCTTGCTGCGAAAAGAAAGGGACTGATGTGGGGGCGGTGTCACACTGAACATCGCTAAGGTTGATGGGCATGGAGAGCCCTGATGAATGGGACGTCGAAAGTCTTCTTCATTCGACTGCGTGCCCTGAACTTGTAGGTTGGAGGCCATCGCTACTAGGGTGGAGGCCATCGCTAGTAGGTCATTAGGTCATTGGGTTGGAGGCCATTGCTAGTAAAGTCTGTCTGATTTTCGACGTGGTTTTTGACGGGGTTTGAAGATGCAGACAGCTATCGAGGTATGTAACCATTGAGCCCGGCCCGCCGCCCAAGAACTTCTTCAAGGCTCCGACATGATGACAACATCAACACACATTTCCTGATAGAGGGAGGGTAAGCCCATGGAGGGAGGTCCTTTAGAATGTTTCAGGCACCCTTTATATGGTTCCGAATGATATGGATTTCATTTAAGTTGGATTATGGAGGTTCCTAATGATCCTAGTTGAGGTTATATGGATTTCACCCCCCAAAAGCGATTCCTCGACTTCGCAGGAGAAGAAGGTCACTTGGACGCAGAACCGGCTCCCGTGACTCGCGGCGGCTCCACGCTCCCGCGACGGGCGGCTCCTCGCAAGCCCCGCAAAATAGATCGTTTGGATCTCGCATTGACAATCCGATCCCATCGGCCCCAGGGTGGAGTTCTAGCACGAGGCTTGGAAGCCATTGGACGAAGACTGTCAGGGCCCTGGACGATACGACGACTTCAGCATGGGACACCGACTCACTGTGAGCGTTAACCTTTTCTTTGCTTTTGTTTCCAGCGGTGTGGTGTGTGGTGTGTTTTCACCCAGAGCCGAGGTCTCTCTCTGACACCAGTGGTGGGACATTGAAGCAGCCACCGATGAAGAGCAAGAAGGCCGCGGACGTACAGCGCCGCGCCGACGTCAACGGGCCGGAGGACGTCGGCTTCATGGGCCCCAGGGGGCCGTCCGATCGGGGACGTCCATCCACAGCTGATACTCTCAGTACATGCAGACACTTGTGACACACACACACACAATGGCAGAACACCCTCCGATTGGTATGAGAGAAATCCTCCACGCTTGTGACCCCCCGCAAGGCACGAGCCTGGGGTGCAGCTCAAGGTGTAGCTCCCAAAGGCAGGAAAAACGCCTAACTATAGACTATTGACCTATTGGCGTGTTTTCATGTGGTTCCATTGTT